GCGTCGAGCAAGAACCATGATAAAACTGAAAAATGAATTATAAATTTCTGTATCATATTCCGAATACCTAAAATTCAGGAAAAACTAAATACTTTATACCCGAAATATTAGGAAAGCCGTAAACACATTTAAAGTGTGTTATCTTCCGGAACGGAATTGGTTGCTCGTGCTATTGCCAGCGTGGCGAATAAATTACGCGCTAATTATAGCATCTCCTGAGAATTAATGCCGGTTTTTGAGTGGATCATGAGGGCAAAGACGGGTATTCTTAGACAAAAATAAATATTTCAGTGTTAAATACTCCAGAACATTCTACTAAACTAGACCATAGTTTGTACTATTGATGAATCCTGATATCACAAAATCGTCTCCGGTAAAACACCGGATGAATCTTCTTGAAATGAGCGGTGAACTAACAAGACGTATTGTATCGTGATTGGCTTACTCCCTTGTTTCCAGTCCTTAACTCAGCACGGCCCATGCCGAAATGAATCATGGCGCCCTCACATATAACGGTGTCTTTGGGAATAATTCTTTTATTAGGTTGTCATTTGGCGTTTTCTCAACCTGATAACGACTCAGAAACAGACAGACAAACTGATAACAGGGTTGATTCAAATAAACAGATTGAAAGGAAGGAAGAGGATGGCAATCGAGTGTTTGAACAAAGTAAGTTGAACTGATTCAACAGGCGTTCTACCGGCTGAGGTCATACATTACGGTTTGAGTTTGTATTGTTGTTGTTTATGCGGAGTTTTATCATTTTGAAAAGTTACATTTTTTATTTGAACATCAGGTAATCGAGTGCCCAAAGCCACTGAGAGGCATATCCAGCCAACCGTCGCTAATTCTGACGATGAAGAAGGCCAAAGAGGTAAGTAAAATCTTCCGCCCGGGAGGTTCGTCTGAAATTGTTGCGGAGTTGTTGAACAGTGTTAAACGCGACCGCTTACGGCGAAAAATGAACTCATGCTACCTACTTTTACCTGCCTGTGCAAAAGCTTGGAAGTATTTTCCTTTATTGTCAATGGAGGTATAGGTTTCTTTGTTTCTGTAGCATTGGATTATAGGGAGAAAAGCATGCGTGATCTCAGGTAATATTTACTGTTCGAGTTTACTGCGTTCGTGGTTCGAAGTCTGCCTAGCAATTAACATGAATTTGTTCCTCTAGCATTACTTTCTCAGTCTGTTATGTCCATGTTTAAGGGCTGTTTTTTTTTTTCTCGCTATAACACAATTTTAGCCCGCCTTTATCTATGTACATAATAACATTCTTCTTTTCAATTATTTCTAAACTCAACAAGCCTGAATGAGTATCGAACAGCTGTTTCTTGTGCTAGCATTTCTTTTTTCGTGTTAAGTTGTACTTATATTTTAAGATTTTATACGACAAAGGGTTTCCTTGTTTCACGGAAAGTTTTATTTTTCTGTCCTTTCGTATCATTAAAGCCTTTAGTCAACGTAGGCATAGAATATTTTTCTAATCGTTCAATTTGTTCTGCGGTTGTAGACTGAAGAGATCCTATGAAAAGTTAACACGTGTACAAGTTTGGTAGTACTTTTGCTTCATTTTTATTTCACTTTTAATCCTGCAAATTCTGGTCAGGGCGCTTTTTAAATTGATGAGGGGCTTGCTGTTCGTTTACGATGAAACGGCTGATTAATCTTCAAAATGACTGATGTTCAAATATTGTTTTCTCTATCCTTTGTTATTAGTTTTTGACTTAACAATCAGCTAATGATACTTGTATATTTTTGATAGAAAGAGCAGTTTTCAATCTTTTGTTTTTGAGAGAGAGAAGTAAGGCGTTTTAAATGTTCGTCAAATTGCTTATTGAAAGAATTAATATCATGACAACTGAGGACTAGCAAGGTTTTGATAGGTTTGGAACTGTTCGTTTTTAAATCATGATATTAGGAATTTTTTTAATTTACCCACTCCAAATGTTACAGGTAATTAATGTTTGAAAAACAACAACAGCAACAACAACAGATCAAACAAACTTAGAGGTTCAGTCCCATACCCTTCCCTACTACTCTCTACCTGGAGTCAATCATTACTTGATGGTCAGCTAAGAGCAGAAACCAATCACAATGTATAACATTGAACTCTTGAACCTTCCAAACAATGCATATCAGTTCTGCAAGATCTGCAAAAAATTATCAGTGGCAGGTTTGATACACTTTCAAGAATATTAAAAATATTGCCAATCACTGCCAATTTGGCTACGAGTGAAAACCTCACTACAAATTCTAACTACATTTCTACTTATTACGTTATTTTTCCATTCTAATGATACCTTCATTTTTTCCAAACATACATTATAAAAATGAAATAATAACAGTTTCATATACCCCAAAAGTTTATCGGCTGGCTAATGAAAGGTTTGAGATTTTTATTCTGACTTTGCTTGGAGTACCCATTCATATTCAAAGATGCTTCTTGATTTCTGAAGACATTTTTCGAGCTTTATTCATTTGCAAATACCTAATTGAATTCAGTTACACAATAACATAAATAAGGAACTGTTCAAAGTGATTGACATGTAACCTCTTCTGACAAAATACAAACAGAAACCAAATTGTTAAAATAAAAAACTAAAAACAATGGCTAGCATTTCTGATTATTGAATTTCTCATGAGGCACTTTTTTGTATTAGATTTCTCTTTGTGGCTGATGCAGATTACTAGCACTCTTAAGTTCTTTTAGCCACAACTTTGTTAATGAGAAAAAGCAGCAATAGTGACAACCAAAAATGTTGCAATGCAGCCTAAGAGTGCACAGAATTCTACTAACAAAAGAGCTTATCTTTGTTTCTAAAACAATACTGACAATGCCTGCGTATTGTCCTATATGTGTCCAAAATTATCAAGCTTGTAAACATTTTAAGCATCCTGTGAGTTCCAGCTTTCTACAATGAAAACTTGTTTGAACATTTGTTCAAACATTTGAGATGACATTGAACTATTCAGCCAAAAAAATTGAATTCCCAAAAAAAGTTGAATTCCAGAAAGAAAAAATATATATGTAAGGATGCTAAATTTAAAAGTAAGCAGAGTTGTCAGTTTGCAATTTTAGGTTACCGGTATGTCCTATTAAAGTGTATCTCAGTTAATTACTCATCTAATGCGGCAAACTGTTGTGAAAATCCAAAGTAATAAATAAAAATGCCCTACCATTACATGTAAATCTTTGTTTTAGATGCACCAACAGAACAGAAAAGACGAGATGGAAAAATAAGATTTGCAGGAGGAAATCAAAAGATTGGTGGTAATGAGTCACCATGCCATGATGATATCAGCCGACTTTGTCCAGAAGTTCCTAAAGGAAACAACTTTGGTCTTTTGGTCTGACAGTGTATATTTGAATCATGTTTAAAAAGGAGATATACACTGGCACATTGAGATAGTGGATGTTATTGTTCTCATGGAGAGATTGAAATAAGATGTTTACAGAACTTTTTGCAAAACAGTTCTTCCTTGTTTTTTATTTTTTATTTTGTTTGTTTGTTTTTTTTTTTTGTGAGGAGCAATGTTTGCAGTGTAGTCTTGAGTTTAGTTCTAAATTAATCGGCTCTTTAAATGTTTTTTGTTTTATATTTGAAGTTGCTGTGGGATTTTAAAAGAAAATTCTCTACGGATGAAAAGTTTGAAGAGACAGTGAAAACTAGATTTTGTGCAGAGGACTTGAAAAAGGTAGATTCAGAGTGTTACCATTTTCTAACAGTTTGCATGTGGATGCCCTTTAAAAGCACTAGTATCGTGTTTCTTTACACGGTTGTTAAATTAGTTGACAAACAAAGGTAAATGGAGTCTTTATTTTTAAAATTTTCCCTCTGAACTGAAGTTCATTCTCCATCAATCATGTGTGGCAGTTAATAGTTGAGGGAGAGGGTTAAGGGAGATTATTGTGGACATATAATAACTGGATTGGATGCTTTTGTCAGCATTTAACAAATGGTAAATGCCACAGTGTACACTATTGAGTTATGAATGCATGCAGGAGGTTGCTAAGCATGAAAGAAGCGTAAGAGTCACGTGAGGTGATAGCCAAGAGTGACTTAAGCTACTTGAGTGCTCAGCAAACCTTCCAAGTGCATCCATAACTCAACAGTGTATACTGTATAATTTGGATATATCAACAAAGTTGAAGTGGTAAATTGGCCACTGTAACGATTACAAAAGCTGACGTTTCGAGTATTAGCCCTTCGTTGGAGCGAATAGATATATCCAAATTATTTCGTTACTCCCACGGACACAGCCCCAAACAGTTTCTTTTGAAACTCTCAGCCTTTAATCAAGTGTATACTGTAGCATTTACCATTTGTTTTATAACATAAGATTGATACATTCTAGGGAAAGAGTTTTCTTTTCTTCAACAAATCTTATGTAACCAGAAGAAACAAGTGCAAATGGAAAAATAGTCCTTGCATTTGCTCGTGTCAGCAGCATATGCCCATAGGCAAATGGTGGATGCTGAATTGGCCAATCAGAGCACGTGCTTTACTTTGGTTATGTTATGGTGTTTGATTAGAGAATATGTCCAGAACTTCTGCATTTAAATTGATATTAATAAGATAAATTGTTCACACAAGTATACGTGATTCCACTGATCTGTACAGGAACACATCACAGATCACTTGTCAAAATGTAGTAAGATGATCAGTGATACACTTAGCCGCTCCTTGTGTACCACTTTATTTTTGTTATTACCATATATTGTCATCATTTGTGATCTGTTACTGCAGCAGATGCAGAGCAACATGGAATCTGTGTGGTAGATAAACAACCCTATGAAAGATGCTAAGTTTATGTTCATTTGCAATAGTGTTCCGAAGATGGTGATATTTTTCTTAAACATCCATTTTCCAAGCACAAGTTCATCACTTTGGTTGTGTCATCATTATGGGAGAAAAAAAAAGTAACAAAAGAAAATAATGTAAAAAAAGGTTTGAAAGAAGACGATATAAGAAAGGTTTTCCAAAGGTTTCTGAAAGTTTTCTGATAGTTTTCAAAATAAACTGAAAACCAGTAAGCAAAATCTCTTTTCAGCTTGAAATTCTCATCAGCACAAAGTCATATCAAGTCAACCAAACCTGATAAACAGTGATCTGATGTGCTACTTGACCTGTGGACAGACTTTAAGTGAGCTTTTACCCTTTCCAGGAGTCATTTGACTGATGCTTGTACATTATGTTACTTCATGTGCCACAGCTCTAATTTGTTTGTATTCAATGTTCCAGTTTCCAGACTGTCAGAAACCAGGAGCAATTGTTGCATGTTTGATGGAAAACAGGCAGAATCTCACAGTTCAAACATGTAAACATATGATGACTAAAATGCAGGCCATTTTCTTTAGCGATTTCCGTTTGATTTCAAACTTTTTGGCGGATTGTTCCCCAGACGTGAACAAATACAAATGTGGCAGGATTCCATCAGAGCAGGAGGATGATGTATGTTATTAATCAATTAATCATTTGACAAGGGAATGGGCTGAAAGCAGAATTCTTTCTGAAGAATACAACATAGTGACGGCACAGAAAGTTGTTTTCTCAATGGCCCATCAGTTACTAGAAGGCCTTAGTCATGATTTTTTTCATGGAAATATTTTCGGAGAAAAAGGAAGATTGGAAAATAATAATAACAATGATAATACTCCAGAGAAACTTTTTGATATTTGTTTCAGGATATCCACTCTCAAAATGATGTGTTAGAATGTCTCGAAGAACACCAAGATGACTTATCACAAGCATGTCAGAAGCAGATATATCGCCTTGCTGAATTGTCTTCAGATGACTACCATCTTGATCGTCCCTTGTATTTTGCCTGTAAAGATGACAGGGAGAGGTTCTGTGCCGAGATCCCATCAGGGGAGGGGAAAGTGTACAAATGCTTGAAGAAACACAAGTTGGAAGAACAAATGAGTGATGAGGTAGGTGGAGGAAGGTACTTTGAATAATCAGTTCAACTAGTTACTAGCTGTTGTGTATGTCAATTATTGTCTCTGAAGTACATTTAAACTTGGCAAAGTGATATTATCAATGCACATTGTGGTGGTAGTTGGTACATTTTTGGCCATGGCCAGGAACAGGCACATTGCTGCCATTGGTTAACGCCCCAGTCACAAATGTGAGCCTCCATAGGACTTTAAAGCTAAAGGTGATAGCACGCTCATAACACCCTGACACAACACGTTTAGTGTGTCCTACAACATGGATTATGCATAGATTTAACAAAGAAGAGGACACTTGTTTTGTTTTGCAAGACTTAACATGCTAAATCTTTTGTTTCTCTTAGTGTGTGATCGGTAGCATGCTTATATAGTTGTGTGAACGATAGCGTGCTTAGTGTGTGATCGATAGCACGCTTTACTTTGCGATCGATAGCACCCTTAGTGTGCGATCGACAGCATGCTTAGTTTGCGATCGATGGCGCACCCTGTACGAAAATTCTCGGTGAGACACCAGCCATAAAAAATAATCCGCGAGAATCAAACATGACAAGTCATGGCGATGATTCGGCTGACACGAGCAAGACAAACAAACAAGAATTGAGCAAGAACAGAGCATGAGTGCGTCTGATTGGGCCATATTCAAGCCCTCCCGTTTGAAAATTTATGGCCAGACATGAGTGAGATTCAAGTCAGACAACAGTCCTCCTCTTAAAGCCAGCAAGAATCTAGCAACGAATGTTTTTCTCACTATGGAACACTCGCGAAACCAAATGTGGCTTATGTTTATTCCCAGCCCTAAGACACTCCAAACCTTCTGTGATATTTTAGCATAGTGGAATACTTGGAAATGAAGGCTGAGAGTTTGGAAAAGCTTAATCTTGATTTGGTGAGCGAAACTACAAGGACAACAGAAAATTTGTAGAAGCGCATTGTCTGTTTTTATAAATACTTGTGACTTTCGCTTGCACCAGCATGTTTTTAGGTTTCAAATTACCATTCAAATTCATTAGAGTAAAATCTGCGCAAACACTGGAACTGAATTTTGACAAAGCTGGTGCCTGGCATTGCGTGCTCGTGTTTACTTTGAGCAAACAACGCTTTTGGTCATCATGCTATTCACCCGCTCAAAAAATATTCTCCAAACTTTACCACACAAGATTTGTTTTGCGTTTGTCCAAGAAAATATATCTACGACACAATACACAAGACTTGAAATGGTCGATGTTTATGACGGAGAAAAAGATTGAAAACAACAAAGCACACCGTCGGGTACTGTAGATCCAACTAAAGACTACTTCTTCGAAGAAACTGCCAAAAGCAATGAGTTACGTTGGCTTTGAAGTTGAATCTCGTCTTTTATGCTCGAAAAACGGCGATGGATGGTGTATGTCAGAAGGTTGAAATAAAATCAATAAGCTTATGCTTGGCAACAAGCAGAATTGACTATTATTCGTCGATAGGCTCATTCAAGAATGGTAAGTAACTATTCATTGATATTCATTTTAACCACTTCAGCCAGTCGTTTTTTTAAGTTATTTTGACACAGTGAACACACTAGCCTAATTGTTGCATGTGATCTCGCACGCTAAGTGTGTTGTGTCGTCTCACACACTAAGTGTGTTGTGTCGTCTCGCACAGTAGCTTTTGTTTTCGAAGGTTAACACGCTTCTATGTTCAACTGCTCACGCTACATTGTTCGACAGGTCACGCTTTATTTGTTTTTAGTGTGTTCTATGAAGCAGAGGATTTAATTGCTAATGAAGTATGCTCTTGGACACACTTTAAGCGTGCTAAAACTGATTTCCTTTGTTCTAAAGTGGAAGCGTGTTGTGAGCGTGCTATCACCTTTAGCATCAAAGTCCTATGAAGGGTCACAAATGGAGGCTAGGTACCCAAGAGGCTTGGCAGCTGAAACTTCAGTTGCAACCCAATGGGCTAGAGCAGCCCACTGGTCTAACCAACCCTCAACCCAGTTAGG